TTGCATTAATATCCTTAATTTGATTTTCTTGGGAAAATTGAGGTTGCGTTTGGTAGAGCTTTCTAAATATGATTTGAGAGTAGGAGTTGTATTTTGAATTTGTGAGCTTTGGAATTATGATTTGAGTGTGAAAAATTTGTTTGGTGAAAGATTTTTGAAAATAATTTTGAATTGAGTGGAGAATTTTTGATGTGACATATGATATTTGATACAAAAACTTACAACTCAACCAAACACACAACTCAAAATTCTATTAAAGCTCATAAAAAAATTTAAAAAATTCAAAAAATATTTTTTTTAATAAATAAAAATTAACATATGTCAATTGCAAATATATATATATATATATATATTTGCACTGTTCAGGTCAACCGGCTGGACGACTGGTGGAACGTCTAGTGGGACGACCGGTTAGCCCAAATTTTCCTGCCTACGACCGAGTTTTCAAAAGTGAGTGTGGAATTATGATTTGAAACTCTTAAACAAACATCATGTGCCAGAGCTACACCAAACAGAGCCTAAATGTTTGAGGATTAAAAATGGAGTGTGAGGCTAACAGTGAGTTTAAGGACATATCAGATGTTGATAATTTACACTTCATTTTGGTTGGAGAGTGCCTTTAGGCATGGGTCATTCGCTAGATTATTTTGGTATATTCTTTTTTTTGGTAATGTCTTTTTCTCACAGAAATGTTTATTTTTCTTTCTTTCTTATTTTTTCTTTTTTGGTGAGATACTGAGTTTTTTATTTTGTCACAAAAGCATATTTTTTTTTAAAAGAGGTTCAACAACCTTCAAACCGTTGACATTGCAATTTTTTTAGTCCCATGATAATTCTTGAATAAAATTCTTATCAACTGGTATGGTTCTTGAAGCATTTTTATTTTTTATTTATTTATTTAAAAATTAAATAATTAATATGATTCAAGACTACAAAACACTTGATGCTTCATAATATTAGTATTGTTGTTAAACTTTTATTTAATTTTACCTGTATGTTGTGTTTTGTCAATTTTATATGTGGCTTATAATTTTTTTGGCTTATTATGAAAATTTTTTTACAAAAAGTAGAAAGATGATGTGACTTAAATAAGCCAATAAGTCAATAAGATAGCTCATAAGCCATTTTCCAAAATAGCCCTTGGGTTACGGGTTTAGTTGATCTAGATGTTTTGGCTTTTGTAGATTTTGTGAATGATTTGATTTCTTAGATTTGTTATCCCTTTGGGGGCTGAATTTTTGTATTCTTTGCATCATCTTGATGCTTTTTAATAAAGTCTGCTTATTTATGAAGAAAAAAATTATGCTGAAAGCTCCTCATGTTCAAATTCTAAATGCAACTTTGTCGTATTTTCTTAATTCCGACACAGATACATACTTAGGAATGTAGTAATAGGTGTAATATCAATTTTGCCATTGACTACTAGATTTGTCGTGCCCATCAAAAATAAAGAATTTAAAGTGTTGACATCGTAGTGTTTTTTAGTCCCAAGATGGTTTTTTATTAAAGTTCTTATCAACTGGTATGGTTCTTGAAGCATCTTTATTTATTTAACAATTAAAATATTAGTATGTTTCAATACTACAAAGCACTTGATATGCTTCATAATATTAGTATTGTTGTTAAACTTTTATTTGATGTTACCGGTAGGATGTGTTGTGTCAAGTTTCTATTGTTATTCTTCTAATTATGTCAAAAGCTCCTCATGTTTTAATAATTTAATGCAACATTGTGGTCTTTTCTTAATTCTGACATTGATATATACTTAGGAATGTAGAAATAGGTGTAATATTAGTTTTCCCATGGACTACTAGATTTGTTATGTTCATCAAACACAAAGAATTTAAATTTAGTGAGATGTCAAATTTGTTCCTACATGCAAGATTTTTTTTTTTTCGGGATTTTTCTTCCAATGAACAGCTGGATAAGTGAATATTGATCCAAGGGCACAACAAGATGGTGGATTTGATGGCCATGGATCTCATGGATTTTTTTTATTAGTTTAAATATGTTCGTAATTTCTAAGCTTATTTCTTTTAATGGGATTAAGTGAGAAACAAGGGATAATGTACTATTAATGATTGTGTAGGGTCTTAGATTTTAAAGATTCAAGCAGTCCCATCACTATCTAATGAAATCATGCATGATGTAGTCAATAATTTTTTTTCAATTAACTTTTTCTTCAATGCCTATTTATTTAACATGCTTAATTATGTCATTTCTTATGTGGCTTTATGTGAACAAAGTATAAATGTTATTCAGATCAGGGAAGTCGAAGGAATTGAACCAATCTTTTATAATACTAATTCACAGATTGTAGTGATGGATGCATTTGGTAATTCTTGAAGGCATTTGTAAGCATTGCCTTTTTTTTTAACACTACGTAAAAGGACACCAACTGGACTGAGATTTGTTCTATCTATTTGTTCTATTTTGGGCAGCAGCATGCAGGTTTTGATTAGTTATTTTATTGTTTCCATGAGAGATGGTGGAGCTGTTGAAAGCTAGAATTGCTGCTGTATGCCAAGGTTGCAGACAAATGATATGGGGAGTGAATTATTTAGGAGGTCTGCTGTTGTATGATGTTGTTTCTGAGGTTGCAAATCTGTCTAGCGCTAAATATGCTACTGTTTTGACTTTGCAAATCTGTCTGCTAGTGGTTGGTACAGGGGAAGGTTGTAAATTTATTCTAAGGTTGCAAATCTGTTTGCTGCTGCTTGGTGCAAATCTTTGTACTAGAGAGTTGTTGGTGTGTGCAGATACTATGAGGATTGCCCTTGAGCTTTGCTGCTGAGTTCTGTTGTTGTTTTGTTTTTGCAGTATTGTTGTTTTATTCTTCTTTTTCTTTTGGTTGCTCTTGATTGGCTGCTCACCAATCTTGGGTCAAGTACTAGCAAATGATTGTGCTGCCTTTACGGTGCCAACCTAATTGGGATTGTAGAGTTTAGCTATGATGCATAGTGCACTTCCCCGTTTTGTTGATGTATCTTCGCAAGTTGGTTGCTTTTTCATCAATAAAAACTTTTATTTGCTGATAAAAAAAAAAAAAATTAGTAAAAGGAAGTGCAAGACTTTATATTTCTTTTCCTATTTAGTTCTATGATACTCCATTACAGCTGAAGGCAAATTTGTTTGAAGGGAATAAACCGGTTATCTACAGTACACCTTCATACTTATAAAGGTGAGGAACCTTGGCTAGGTGTCCTATCGTTTTAGTTTTAATACAATAATTTGTTTTGCCTCTAAGCTTTTGTCGGCAATAGTCAATTTAGATCATTTAGATTTTCTTAAGTGTTACATTTTTTTAGTGGTAACTTTTTTTAAATGATTTTTTTTTTTAGCCTTTTATGAGGAATTGCGTATTTTGATCACGGAAAATTTGTTCAAGTGTGAATGTGATAATTGATGGTATTTAGTTTGATTATTGCAGGTAACTTGGGGAAGACACTGGTGCTTTTATCAAGAAGAGTTATGTTAGAAAATTTTTTATGTTTAATTTATCTTAATTCATAATTATTGGTTTTTTTGTTTCTCGTAAATATTTTGAATGAGCTTTTCTGTTATGATTTCTTTTAGTTGATTTTTTTTTTTAAATTCGAATTCAAGTGTTGGAGTTATTTTGTTACAGGTGACTGATCAGCGTTAGAAATATTGTGGTTGTGTTGCTTTTTTCTATGTGTGTTTATGGTTGGTCTTTCATTTCTGGCTGGATGATTAGTTTTTTTTTGTTTTTAATAAGCTATAATGATTACTCTTTTGAACCAAAATGTTCATTCACCATTCCTCGTACGCGTCAAGTATGTCATTTTGAATTGATTTGTTATAATTGTGTTCCATAGCGCAGTGAAATTGTTGTCATTCTGAATTGATTTATTTAAATTGAATTCTATAGTGCAATCACTACAAGAAAATTGAGATTTAACGGCGTTTATTTAACGGCGTTTTCATAAACGTCGCATTTTTCTGTTTAACAATACGACACCGTTTTAATTTTAAAGTCGTTTTAAAAACGTCTTCGAATGTGTTTTTTTATTTTTTATTTTTTTAACATATGAACATAAAGTAGCGTGTTCTCTCAGTCCCCCTATTTCTGAAACCTTGATTTCACTCTCTCTCTTCTCTTCAAACTCCGTATTTGTAGAACCGCAGCTGAACCCCTTTGTATTTGCAGATCGATTCATCTACTCGTAGATCGATTCAAGTATTATTCACTCTCAGTCTTGCTCTCCTTTCTCTAAACCCTTGATTTCACTGTCTCTAGCTTCAAACCCCTTCGTTTCAGAGACAACCCTTCATATTTGTAGAACCATAGCTGAACCCCTTCGTATTTGCAGATTGATTCAAGTATTCATAGATCGATTCAAGCCTCTTCTCTAGTTCGTGTTTGCGTTCGCGTTCACAGCTCTTTCTGTGTTGATCAGTCTCATCTCGATCTTCTTACTAACGGAATCTTTCGATTCAAGTATGCTAGGTTTGATCTACTTTATCATTCTTAGATCAGATTGAAGATCTATTGATTCGATTCAAGTATGGTAAGTTTCGATCGAAGATCTATTGATCGATTGAAGATCATAATGTGCATTGTAGATGTTAAAATTGAACACAAAATACATACATACATATATATGAATAGATTGACAAATTTTCTTTTACAGTCAAGGTCTCTCTCTCATTCTTTATTTGTTTTACATACATGTTTATATGTGTTTGTTCAAATTGTTTTGTTTGGATTTTGAGAAAGTGACTGAAGTTTATAACAAATACAAAAAAAAGGTATGAAATCTTTCAATCACTCCATTTTTTGGGGGGCTTTTGCTTTTTGTCTCTAAAAGTATATAATAACCGGAATAATCTCTTTATATTTGTGTAAACTTTTCAGTTATCTATGAAATACACTCATAAAGTTTTAAGTTTTTACTTCAATTTTACTTTTCACTCATCTTTTATGTTTTCATCTGTGTTGGGTGGGTTCTGTCACAGAGTTGAACTTTGTGTGTCTATATTTTCTTCAAGTCAGAAGTACAATTTGGTCATGCGGTGAGCTACTGCTAAATTTCCTTGGATATAATTTTTGTTTATTTATTTTATTTTATTTTTGGTGTTATTTTCTAATTTTGCTCAACGTTGCTTAAATTAGGGAGCCAAAAGTGGTGGTGAGATGGAGTCTGCACAAGCCAAGAATCAAGCACTTCACGATGCTGGAGCTGTTGTCCCAACTTCATTTGAAGCATTTGAAACTATGATTAAAGAAACATTTGAGAAGCTGGTAAGCTGTTGCACATCTCATACCCATTACTGCCATTATGTAGGCATTCCTCACTACCACCAGTTTTAGTAAATCATTTGCTTACATTTTGCTTAGGTTGAGGGGGGCAATGTTACTCCTACAAAGGAAGTTTAAGCCTCCACAAATCCCTGAGGATCTTAATACTGCTATTAAGAGTGGAAAAGTCCGAGCTCCAACTCATATTATATCCACCATATCTGATGACAGAGGTATGATATATGCTATATATATTGTGTATGGGTTTAGGGTTTTCTTTCTCTTATATATTTAGGTGCCATAACTGCTGTAACAATATAGAGAATTAATGCAATATTAATCTTTTGTTGTTAAACTCACACCATCTAGGATACCGGGAGGACAGCAGTCCCGAATTTCTGCTTCAAACTGGAAATAAACTCTGCTAAATCTGTCTTTTGGAGGAGCTCATTGAGAATAAGGTTAACATTTCTTATGTTCAAAAGATGTTATCATTGCTTTGTACTCACCTGTCTTTCCTTAGGAAACAAATATTGCATTAAGTTTGCAATAAAAAACAAAGCAAGTACTTCTAAGTGATTAATCAACGTTGCCTATTTGGACATCTGAAATATGATCACTGAAACAAATTCTTTGTCTAATATGTTTTATTTTTCCTATGCAGCTTGATGGGTTTATCATCCCTCTGTTACAAGGGAATATCCTGAAGCTTTTCAATGCTTATTTTGTGTGTGTGTGCGCGCGCATGTGTTTATGCATGAGCACATGCGTGCGTGTTAAAGGTAACTATGGATGCAAGAGTAGTTTCTTATTTATGGTGTTTTCACTTAACCAAGGCATAAGCTATCAGACTGGACAACTCAAGCTGAAAAATTCCCCAGCCATAATTACTTTAATTTCAAGGAGGTGTACACGGCGCCTAGGTAGTGCAATATAGACATCACTGGTTTTTGTTCCTATTAATATGGCTATGGCAAAACATTGTAGTAAGTGGTTGTTATGTTGAATGGAGGGACCCGAATGTGGAGAAGAGGGGCTAACCTTGAAGGTTCTATGTCTTCATTTTTACAGGTATTATTTCCACAGGAAATGTGCCTTCAGATACGGATTGTTCCGGTTAATATCTTTTCAACTCAATATCTTAAGTGGACCAATTCACTGGCTGACTTGCTTTTTTCTTCTCTGGCCAAAGTAAATTTCTGGCAAGTGAACCAATGAGTAACAGCTACTCCTTAATTTGCTTCAGATTCAAGGTTCAATTCCACTCCTTTGGGAGCAAATTGTTGATTTGAGCTATAAACCACGACTTAATATTATTGATCATGAGCAAACAGTATGTATTTTCTTCTGGATACAGCTCTTTATGTTTAAGTTGTGTAATGATGAGCATCTAACTGTGTTTTTCTTCCTTTAGTCAAAGGTTGTGGAGCGCCATTTTCATGATATTATAGAAAGATACGGAGAGACCGTAAAAGTTGACCTAACCGATAAGGTAAGACTTTCCAGCACCACACTAGGACATTAACCTGGGGCGTAGTTTCAATATGATTTTCTTGCTGGAAGTGGAGAAATCCAGGTAGCAAATAAGAATGTTGTTCTTTGAAGTCTATTTTTTTAGACTTTCAATATGATCAACTTTTTGTTTCTTCTTCAACCACCATTATCACGTGCAATTAGGAAGGATAAGATTTTCCGGGCTCGCTGAAATTTGAGAGATAGATTGAATCATAGCAGCTTTTCATTTTTTATGGAAAATCTATGCATATTACATATCATTTTCACATGCTCTGTTTCTAAATGAAAACATCATCTTTTAAACATCATCTAAATGAAAACATCATCTTTTGATGCTATATACAAGATATCGGTGATTCTAAATGAAAACATCATCTTTTAAACATCATCTAAATGAAAACATCATCTTTTGATGCTATATACAAGATATCGGTGATTCTAAATGAAAACATCATCTTTTAAACATCATCTAAATGAAAACATCATCTTTTGATGCTATATACAAGATATCGGTGATTCTAAATGAAAACATCATCTTTTAAACATCATCTAAATGAAAACATCATCTTTTACTCAGCAATTATGCTGGTATGACTTTGATGTTGAAGTGCAAAATCCTCAAGAGCTGTGTTCTTCAGATAGCAGAGGGGCTGCAAATTTGTTGATGAATATGGGAGGTTTGATGCTTCTTAATAGCTATTCTTATTTGAAAAAATTTTGCTTTTACTTTTTTTTAGTACTTAAACATGATGTTTTGTCACGATGGGAACTGTTAAACATAGTCATTGGTTGTCTATCTATTGTTTCTGTTGGATATCAAGAAAATGAGTTAGTAAAGTAGTAATCATGTTTAATGCTAATCAATTTGTCGCATGCGTTCACTTATTCACTTATAGTTATTTTGTCTCATAAAACTTTATATTGTCATTATTCTCAATGTATTCAACAATACAGTGTATAAAAACTTTAGAAGAAAGTTACTATGTCCATTCACATAATTGGATTGGCTGAATGGAAGCAATTGTACCTTTCTAATGATGGAGACCAAGTTGTCAAATAATGTGTCGTGTTGTGTGCCCTTTCTTATTTTATTTTTTATTTTTTTTGTATTGCATATCATAATTCTTTTACATCTTGAAAATTGGTAAACATGGATAGGCAACCTTACATTTATCATGCCTTGTAAACTGCTATATGCCTATGACATAGTTTTTCAATTTCGAACCTGGCTCTGATTTTCTTTGCAGGATGTGGATGAGAAACTTTTGTATGATACTTTCAGTGCATTTGCAGTCATTGTTACAAATCCCAAGGTCAAACTTATTTTCTCTTGCTCCCGTATAGTTGTGTTGTTTGTTTCTTATTGATATATATAATAGAACTGAGGACATGCACTGCTCTTCCATCCTTAAAATCTTATCACTATGTTTTCATTCGTGCATATTATTATTTTTAGTCCTTTGGTTATGAAACTCAGTTTACATTATAGAGATTGTTCTTTGTTTTGCCCGTGTGTGCTTTCTTGTCATAGGTTCTTTGACTAGGGCATGAACAAATTGACAATGTTTTAATTTTTTTGGTATGGACTGACACAGTAGTTTGAGATAATATGTGGATTAAGAGGATTAGTCTTTTACCATTTTTTGTTGGATTGGGGGAACGGTAACGTAGGTATATTAGACAGTTGAGAACTTGAACGTTAAGAGAAACAAGAAGACAATAGGAGGAAAATTCTTGTCAGTTGCATCCAAATTCGTAGGCGCGCGCGTGCACACACACTAAAGAGAGTACGTGCAGATTTTCAGTCACGAATTGAGATTTTGGAATCTCAATTGCAAGCTGCGGGCGTGCCCGTTGCACCAGCTATTGCACCCTCGAACCCAGTACATAGGCAGCATGTATTTTCATTATTTTTACTAGTTATTACTTTAAATTGTCCAGAGCTACTATACAACTTTAGCCTCTTATTCAATGATAGGTTGTTGATTCACTTAGTAGTCGTCCCACTGTTTGGCCAATGTCACATCGACAACAATTTCATGCATTTTCATCCCAAGAGGTGAGCAATCATTTAATCAAAGTTTTTTTGACAATACAATAGCTTATTAATTACAATACTTGTCCTTATTAAATATAGGTTCACCTTTCAAAGAAAGGGAAGAAGAAGAAGAAGAAGAACAACTAACAAGATAAAAGTACTAAACATCACTAGTTTTTCATTTCTCACTTTTCTAATTCTATTAAGACATGATGTGATTTGGTGTTGGAAATTAGTATTTTCTCATGGGCCTGACTAGCCATTGTGTAGTTGGTTAGAACATTACGAGTCTAGTATGTAGACCTGACGAGTCTTCACATGAATTCTGTAAGTGGGTTAATTTATAATGTCCCATTACATCATGGTTATGTCTGCTTGACCCTTCCATATTGAATGGAGACCCTTACCTCATGGTCAAGTTACAATTCTTTTTTGTTGGCAATCAAAAAAAAAAAAAAAAAACAAAACAAAACAAAACAAAAAAAAGAAAAAGAAAAAAGAATAGGCCTTATTGATTCTACATGTTCAATTTGAAAGTTGAGGATCTTGTTTAATGTGTGTTTTGCAGGTTGTTTTTTACTTTGTTTTACTGCTGGGACATTTGTTGCTATTTTGGGAATAGTCGGAGCTGTTTTTTTTGTTGAATTAATGGGTTCTTTTTAAGGTTTTTTGTATTTTTCTGCTGTCCTATTCTAGAACTTATATTCTACAGGAGAGAGAGAGAGAGAGAGAGAGAGAGAGAGTCAATTTGTATTTTTTTTTTCAGCACTCAATTGAGAATTTGTATGTGTGGAGATCATATGATATGCTTGTTTTAATTCCTCTATATTGGTGTTATTTTTCAGTTTTATTACAGGGATTTTTTAGTTCAATTACATAAAATTTAGAAAAAAAAAAAAACAAGGCTATCGCGGCGTTTCTAAAAACGTGGCTAAATATCACACCAAGGGCTGCTTTTCTTTTAAAAAGAGATACGGCGGCGTTTTAAAACGTCGCTAAATAGCATGGTGACGTCATGTTAACGTTAGTAGAACTTTTAGCAGCGTTTTTAGAAACGCCGCCTATAGTCATATAGCGACGTTTCTAAAGCGTCATAAAGTTATAGCGACGGCCGCGTCTTTACAAAAGGTTTTAACGGCGTTTTTAGGACCTATCGCGGCGTTTTTTAAACGCCGGTAAATCCTTGATTTCCAGCAGTGAATGAAATTGTTATCATTCTGAATTGATTTATTTTAATTGAGTTTTGTAGAGTTTGAGTTACCAAAAAAATTGTTGAGAGTGCCTTTAGGCACGAGTTATAGATTTATATTTTTTTTACTTTACATTTTATTATTTTGATTTGCAATATTACTGAACATTACAAATTTTGTATGTTTATTCCTTAATTTGCAATAAGATTAGGAAGAGTTTTTATTTTTAATTGAGTTTTATAGAGCATGTCGTACAAGTAAAATGATTAAAAAATTCTTTAAGAAGAATCAAAAAATGCTATGGACTCCGCAAATTTTAACATGATACGTATAAATTATAACTATATTTTGATCTCAATATTACTTACACCGTGTCCTTTAGACATAGACATGCATTAGTATATTTATAATTTTGAACCCTATAATTCGCTTCTAGTGGCACCAAAATTTGGTGAGATATCCATTCATATATAGGCGTTACTCCATAAAATAAAAAATAAGAGTGAGATTGCTTTTGTTTTTCAAACATTTTATTTTGGTAATCCAAACAAAATGGAGTTACAGGATACAACAATTGATATTATAAATAATTTGATTGCCATAATATTAACATAAATACAATTAGAATAATATTAAGATATTACATTTTCTTAGTGGCAGTTGCAGTATAATTTTTTAAAAATCCCTAACAATAATTTCTTAAAAATAAATGTAATTAGAATAATTTAGTTTTGGAATCGTGATTCCAATAAAAAAAATTTAAAACTCATAATCAAACATACAATTCAAAACCTATTTACAAAACTCATAGATAAACACACAACTCAAAACTCAATTCAAATTTTTTTTTTCAAAACTCATAACCAAACTCTTTTCAAAATTCTATTTAAAAATATATAATAAAAAAATCATTTTTTATTTTGTTCTTTAATTTTTTATTTTAATTTTATATTTTTCTGAAGAATATAAAATTATTAAAAATATTGCTTATTTTTATTTTTGAAGAAAAATATTTTTTTATTTTTTATTTGTTTGAAAAAAAAATATTTTGTTATTTTTGTAAGTATTGGCCAAATAATTTGTTGTGATTTTCATATATATGGGTGATCCAATTTTTTTTTAAATTTTTTTTAAAAAAAAATCAAATATTATTTAAAATATTAAAAAACATAAAAATATTGGAAAAAATATTTTAAAATAAAATAATAAATAAATAAAATTTATATATTTAAAATAAAAAAATATACAACTCGTTTAAAATTTTTAAAATTTTAAATATATATACAATGACATTAAAATAAATAAATAAATATTTACAATAAAAAATATTTACCCTAAAAAAATAAAATTAAGAAATTTTTTAAATATTTAAAAAAAAATAAGTCCAAAAAATTTCAAAATACAACTCAAAACTCAAAAACTTAAAACTCATACTACAACTTACAATTATTTTTCAAAACTCAAAACTGAAAACTTTTTGCAAAGCTCATAACCATACAAATTTTTTCTTTTAAAACACAGCTCAAAACTCAAACTTAAAATACAACTCTACACTCACATCATGATTCTAAAACTAAACCAAACGGATAGTTTTAAAAACATTTTCTGAGAGCTCAAAATCCAAAATTTATTTGGTTTTATAAAATTTTTAAAGTTTTTTCAATCACTCTTTCTATCTCCTCTTTCATTCTCTCACATCCTACTAGGGGTATAAATTCGGCTCAGCCCAACCCATAGTCAAGTCTCGCGGGCTCCCGCCAATTTTCGGGTCGGGCCATGTAGGAAAAATCTCAGGCCAAGCCTAAGCCAAAGCCCAAGCCCACTCAAAATTGGGTCCCGGGCTTGGGCCTAGGCCCGGGCTTGGGGTTGCCTTGGTTCAAGCCTAACTATTTTTTTTTTTATTTTCTTAAAACTCTTTTCACTAAATTTTTTTTTTTCACCAAAATAGTTTGAAAATGACATTAGGCCTCAAGCTGGCCTTAGAATAGCTCGGTGGGCCAAACTTTGGGACAGGTTAAACCCCAAAATACACAGCTCAGACCTAGGGTCACGGGCTGGACTCGGGCT